ATCAGATTAGTTTTTCAATAGTGTTGATTTGTAAGGATTTCATTTACTTTTCAAGTTTGACCGCGGATCGATATCCGTTAGAGAACTATTGAAAACTTTCAGGGAGTACTGGACAGCTGTCTTATCCAACTAGTCTGGGAATCATCGACAGTACGCACCCACTGGTTTTTTGTTATCTGTAAATGTTCAAGTATGTGTTACATCAGACATAAATCACTCAATATAGAAAAAATCCTCATTTAGACATTTAGAAACAAACAAAAAGATTGAGCGAAGAAATATTTACTTTTCAATTAGATCCTCATCTCACTTTGGCTCTACTCTAATATACACGTATAGCATTTTTATTACAATACACAACAGTTTACCAATCAAGTGACACTGATATGTTTGTTAACAATAATTAAACAGTGTCAAAATGTCAAGCGGTGGGGCGATAATTAACGAAGAAAATCAATACACATTTAAAAGGTAGAAATGGTTAGAATAAATTAATTTTACAAGGATAACACGTAATTAAAGATGAAGTGGTCAGAAAAAATAGAAAATAAAATAATTTGGACAATTTTAATTTTTATAATTTAAAAGGTTTAGTGGGAGGGAGGCGAAGTAGTCCGGTTTACACATTCATGTAATGATGGCCAAGGTAAGGAAAGTGGCTGTACAATTTTTTCCTGAACACACACACACAGGTTTGGCTTGTTCTTCAGGTGGATTCCTATTGCTTCAGCTGTATGTAGAAGACGAACTCGTAAAGCAAAATTAAGATTAGTAGGAATGCGATAAATAATTTTAAATGCAGTATTAACATCAACCTTATGCTCACTATCTACAAGGTGGGCTAAAATAGAGCTACGAATAGATTTTGTTTGTCCCTTGCTTAACCATGCCGGATGATGTTCGGAAATACGATGATGAACCTGCCTAATTGTTCGCCCGATGTAGCTGGCTCCGCAGCTGCAGTCAAACTGGTAGATACACATAGAAGAGGCGAATTTAGGTAGTTTATCCTTATTTCTCGAATGTAGAATAGGGGTGGGTTGTGAAGGGACAACGTACCCCTGCTGCATAATAAGTTCTTTTAACTGCATTCTTCAGGCGCTGTGTTGTTATTTCGCTGATGTTGTCACCGAGGAACTGGAGTTTTATGAACATTGGTTTTTTCGGAACTGTTGCTATACTGACTCTCCTAGGTGCTGAATTCATATTTTTCTCAATGAATTTATCTGGATAACTATTTTTTCTAAATAATCCTCTGATAATCTTAAGCTCCTCATTGAGACAGTCAAAACTCAAAAAAATGAATATACTGACCTGTTGTTGTAGGTTTCCTATACACACTCCTTCTTGGCGTACCATCTTCTTTCCTTACCATAAAGACGTCTAGGAATGAGATACTGTCATTACTTTCTTTCTTTATGGTAAAGTTTATTTATTGCTGAATGTGTATCATTAAACTTGTCAAGGATGTTCATTGCATCATTCTCGTCTTTCATAATCACAAATGTATCATCCACATATATCGACAGTAGAAATCCAAGTCATTAATTTACTCCTTTCAGTGGTCCATTCTCCCTTACTTAGCGAGGAAGCAATCAGCTAGGATTGAACCTAATGGAGAATCCCCATAGAGCTACACCATCAATTTGTCTGTAATATTCGTTATTGAATAAGGGAAATGAATATTCATTGTACATCTTAAAATAAGTTTCTTCAAGGTGGATACAGAAATCACTCACACACAAATTGTGGAAAGAAAAGAAGTTAAAGGTTGGGTTTTTATAATTGATATAAGCATAAAACTTGGGCACTGTGGTAGAGTATAACTCTATTACGGATAAGATTTTATTTTGATAATTCACACAGTGTTATTTAGTAATATTAACTGATGACCACAATTCAAGCACAAACTATTGCTCATAATCATATCAAGTAACTCACACAACTTTGTTCTTTCATTTACATACATGTGTGGAATTGATCTACTATCTTTAAATTCCAAGGTAAAATATATAGACAAACAGAAGGTGTAGCAATGCGATGAATCACCAATATCCCCTATTGTAGCAGACATATTTATGGATAGCTGGGAAAGTACTGCTCTTAATACATAAGAACATAAGAAGTTAGCTAATGTAAGAATGGTTGACCTCGAGAAGATAAATAATTTAGAAAAAGGCTCAGAAATTACATTGTATGCATTAACACACAACCACACAATAGGGTGGGAGGGAGAGGGTTACAATTCTAAAAAGTAATCTAGGTAGGTGGAGAGAGAGGTGGATCATGGAATCCTTATTCATCGAGTCTACACCCTACACATGCAAAAGAAATGACTGAATGCAAATACCAGAAATATGGAAGATATTATTACCACCAGCCTGTCAAATCAGAAGAGGATAATAAATAATCTTAAAATTCTATTTCAATTCAAAACATTCTAACAAGTAACTTATTATGACTGTAAAACATTCGTATTTCCCACATAATTGTAATGGGTCAATAACACTCGTACTATGATTTCTGAATGGACATTATCTCACATTGATTTTTAATCCAATATCTAATCCATTCCGCACATGTATATAAATGAAGGAAAAAAGTTGTGTGAGTAACTTGATATGATTATGAGCAGTAATAGTTTGTGCTCGAAACGTTATCAGTTAATATAACTGTACAACAACACTGTGTGATTTATCAAAATAAAATCTTATCCATAATGGGTTTTCATTTGTTTCTGGAGCCATTTTGGAATATGCTCTGAAGCCCTTACTTGCAGAGATCGATGAGTCCTCCCTATGTATGTGTGTCCACACGTACATTCAAATTGGTAAATACAGTGGGATGTGACGTCATTTTTCGCATGTTCGAAGGGCTTAGATAGATATAATGGCTTTACATTCTCTAATATTATGATATTAGCTGCATAAAAAGTCTTTTTAACAGCAGCGTTCAGCCTTTGTCTAGTTATCAAGCTGCTTTGATGTCCCATATAGGGTAGCTTGATGTACACGTCTTTCTTAGGGGCGAGTTGGAGAGTGGGTCTTGGTGTTCTGACTACTTTATATCTCCTGATGAACTTTTCTGGATAATTGTTATCAACCAGAGTTTGTGTCAATATTCTTTCTTCTTCATCAAGCGTGTCTTCAGTGCATATTCGTCGGATTCTACTGAAGAGGCACCTTACTAAGCCTCTTTTGTACCGAATAGGGCAGAAACTGTGGTAATTAAGATACTGTCCTGTCCAGGTAGGTTTTCTATAAATAGATCTTTTTATTGACCCATCAAGCCGTCGACTAAGCAATATGTCTAGGAAAGATAAACAATTATCTTCCTCTTCTACAGATGTAAGTGATATGCTATTCTGAACTTCATTCATTCGATTTAAAATTGAGGTGGCAGAACAAGGCTTATCACTGATGACTACGATATCATCTACATACCTTCTATAAAGTGGCACATTTTCGATTAAATCTTCCGATAAATTCTCAATGTACGACATATAAATATCTGCTAAAAGGGGCCCTAACGGACTGCCCATAGCAACACCATCAACTTGGCGGAAACAATTGCCTTCAAATGTAAACCTAACATTGTTAGTACATAGAAGTAATAAATCCTTTAAGTAAGATATAGGGAACGGGATGAAAAAATTGTTTGTGGAAATATAATCACACAAAATGTCAACTGTTTTGATCAAAGGCACATTAGTGAATAACGAGTTTACATCAAAAGAGTACATATTCTTGTTCATAATATTAATATTACTATCATCAAGAACATCAACCAATTCAAATGTATCTTTTAACACATACTTACAGAATTGTGTTTTGACTGGATTCAATAATTCCACTAACCATTTAGCAAGTTTATGCGTTGGGGATTTGCACATTGACAATATAGGACGTAGAGGATTATTGGGTTTATGTATTTTTGGCAACCCATACATATGTGGGAATTTACAATCTGACGGTTTTAATGAGTCAAGTTTATCTTTACTTATAGCATTTAGGCCATGAAGCTTCAGTAGATTAGCTGTCACTGTGCCCTGCAACAACTGAATATCTTCTGAGGAGGGATCACGACTAAATTTGCTCTTATCATCAAGAATAGACATCATTTTAGATTTGTAGTCACTTTTATTCATAATGACGACTCCAGAACCTTTATCAGGTTTAGTAATAATTATATTAGAATTTTCCCGTAGCTCTTTCAAGGCTTTGAAATGTTGGGAATTTAAAATACTCTTCTCCTTTGGGTTGTTGTTTAAAAACTGGTGAGCTATATCCACCATCTTGGCCTTAAACCAACCCCGATCTTCATCGGATGTTGCGGTAAGAGGTTTGAGTTGGTCATATAAGTTTTCAAACTCAGCATGGATGGCTAAATCCGTAAATTGCGTGCGAGGAACACAAAATTTGAGTCCAAGGGATAAAGCTTCTTTCTGATGAGTAGATAGAGTAATATCAGAAAGATTTGTAACGTACTTATCAGGATTCACCGGGAAGACATCTACGCGGTTTCGATCATCGATTGAACTCTTCAATTTATTTTGTATATTCGTCTTCGTTTTCTGAGTAACGTCTTTACAAAACTGAAGAAATTTCATGTGGCATATTATTGATAATTCAGATAAAATAAGCGACGCATCGGTATGAAGAACAAGTAGTCCTTGTAAGGTTTGTTTAACATTTTCGATATGTGACTTTGTAAGACGAACAAGATTAGAGATATTTGGTTGTAATTTACTGAATTTCAAAGTTTTATAAAATTGCCTCGGGAAAGAATGATTTTTAATACATAATTCATAAAATTCCAACGTGTTACGTTCGACGATAATTTTACACCTTAGGTTAACAAGTTCATTTAACCTTTTGATAGTGTGTGGAGGGAGCCTTCTCTTTAAAAATTTAAAACAATTAGTTCCCTTTATGAATTTAGATAAAGCAATAAGAAGACGTAATTTGTTTGATTTTTATCCTGGTTTTTTTTCTAAATAGCCTAAGGAAGAAATCCTTTGCAAAGAACCAGAACAAAGTACACCAAAGAATGATGATATGCCTTCTTCAACTTTTGCTGAACCAATGAATCATGATAATAATAATAATAATAATACTGTTACCTCAGAGACAAAGAATAATAATAATGAGCGGATACTTTTAGAAGATTCTAGTCTACAAAAGAAGATTGTAGAAGTTATCCGGAGTTCAAAACATCCCCTAGGTTGTAGTATGTGTGAATTATCAGCGTGTATACGAACAGATAAACCAGTAAGTTGGCAATATTTTGTTTAAAAAGAATTATTTATTTTTTGATTTATTTGCAGTTCGGTATCCTTACATTATATAAAGCCAAATTATGTATACCTTATCTTCAACGCATCATTTGCACAGATCTTAGGTGTTGTTGTACTTACGGACTACATGTTGTGCTGTTTCTTTGTGTTTCTTTCACGTCTCCTTCCATGTATCTCCACAACACTGTATCATTCATCGTCTTCTCTGAAATCAAATGTATCTCCCCTTGATATATGTCCAAACCAAATGTTAACTTTTAACAGTTTGAGAAAATTTGGACATTGGGTATATGATATTCATTATAATAAAGGCCTGTTTTGTATTTCCCAATGAATAAAAAACAAAACGATATTGTTTTCTTCACTGACGTTTCGCTATTTAATGCTGCTGCTAATAGCTTTATCAAAGTAGTATTATTAAACCGGAATATTACAAAATCTCAGTATATATATAACAAAACATGGACATCAACAGTCGTCATTCCATATAGAGCAGAGACGTCAGACGACATCAGAAGAGTACTCAATCAGCTCGACATTAGAGTTTTCTTCAAAACATCAGACACACTGCAAAGCAATCTTGCCCATATAAAAGACTAAATACCGAAAGATTCTCTATCTAATTGTATCTATAAAATAAAATGCTTGGAATGTGATGCGATCGACATCGGACAAACATCTCGAGAAATCAAAATCAGAAGAAATGAACACCGTAGAGCCACATCTATTCTACCACCAAGAAATCCATTTGAACTAGAAAAGCTTGAAAAATCATCATCCATAGGTCACCTACACGCTATAGAATCAGGTCACAAAATTAATTTTGACAATATTGAAATCATCATCCAGAAAAAGCATTTCGGAACTCACAAAGAACGTCTCATTTCATCAGAAGCACTTCAAATCAAATGGAATCCAAATTGTCTGAATATAGGAGTGATGGACTAAAAATAGAATCTGACATGGTCACAACACCTTCCTCCCTCATGAAATGATAAAACCAACACGAATGTGACAAGCAAGTTCATTATGTAAACACACACTACTTTTATAAGTTTACACACTGATCAAATCCAACAATTTACACTTGGGTTTGTTATCTTTACCAATTGGCCAACTTGACAACGAAAAATGACCCCAGACTGACGAACGATGATCAAGTTAGTAAACTTTGTTTTGATACCATAACAGATGTACTATTACCTTTGATATTTCGTTTAGTCATCTTCATTGCTATTTTGACTTTTAATATGTCCCTTTAACGTGACCTAAGTAGTCTATTTTCTCACCCTTAACTCTTTGTTATATATATATATATGCTGAGATTTTGTAAATTCCGGTTTAATAATACCTTGATTAGCAGCAGTATTAAATAGCGAAACGTCAGTAAAAAACAATATCGTTTTGTTTTTCATTCCTTGGGAAATACAAAGGCCTTTATTATAACTACTCATAAATCTTATCAGTAGTGCTCGTCACAACATGAGTAAAATAAGGTCGATAAAAGGAGAAAATGTGATAAATGGATAAGGGAAAATAGTTGACGGGCATTTCTTTCCCCGTACAATTCCCTCTGTGTCAACCTAAAATTCACGCCCAACTCATAGAGTTCCATTCTGCTGTTTCTCCAACTTGGCTGTCAACTTTGGAACCTTTTTGTCAAAGGCTTATAACTCGCAGTTTCTCATTTTCTGTTTATTACAACAGATTTAAAATATGTTGTACTTACAATATCAGTGAAGATGTAGTTCATTGGTTTAAGCATATGAATTTCATTAGTGAATCCTAAATTCCAATTCTCTTCACCTCCTTCAGTCTGAACAACTAAATAGTCTCATGAACTCTCTCTCTCTCACACACACACACTCAGTAAGTGTAGCTAGTACATTATAAACCCTTTCTGGATATCTGAGTTTTAACTAACTAGCTAACTTATCAATTTCAACTGTCTTTTACCTTGTGAGTGAATAGTTTATGACTATTTTTCAACTCATGGAAAATCCCCATTGTAACATATAGAAAATAAAAACAAGTGATTCAATGGAGAGACTCTTTTCAACGAATTTATCATCAAGCTGTACGATCTTATAGGCGTATATGGTTTTTAAGAAGTTATATCCGATGTGGGAATTGAATCATACGTGTGAATGCGCATGAAATAATAATAGTAGTATGAAATGCAATAAAAAAACTGAAATGTTTGTTGTTATACTCATAGTTAAATGTCAAGTGGCAAAACAAATTAATGTCATATATAGATAGAATAATTTATAGGATGGATAGGACTTAAAAAAGGATGTGCAATTATAGGATTAGTAGACAAATCGAATAAAATGAAAGCGTTACCTAATATTGTGTGAAATTTAATAGAATAGAATTTATCGTTGTAAAAAAAAACTGATTTAGAATGACAAGTGGAACAAGTGAAATAATACCGAGAACAGTTCAAAGTGAGAATCATAGTAATAGTTACAATTGACAAAATAAGGAAGAGTATACAAACTGCATACACAAAATGAAAAAATGAAAAATTGGTAGAGCAAAATATGATTGGGGATTACCATACTTTAGCAAAGAGGGATTAAGACAATGAAAGTTGGAGGGATTGAACGAACTTTTTCTGTACACAGAGATCTGGCTTTTCTGTTTCGATAGCCAAAGCTTCTGCAATACAGATGAGTCGAGTACGTAGGGATTTGGGTAGATTGCTCTTTGCCTTGTAGATGACTTTAAAGGCGGAGGCTATAGAGATAGGGTGATCATTATCGACCAGATGTTCAATGATCGCGCTTCTTATTGCTCCACTTCCACCTTTTCGTAGCCATCCAGGATAGTGTTCTTGCACCCTCTTGTACAAAACTCGAGTCGAACGACCGATATACCTGGCTTCAAAAGAGCAGGTGAATTGATAAACGCACATAGAGTTGGTCAACAGCGGGATCTTGTCCTTCAGGTTATTGAGCAGTGACGGCTATTCTCAGGGATGCAGCAGGGTATACTCTTTTCAGGGACTGTAATATCCTTCGTTTCATGATATCGGAAGCTAAGTCCCCTTTGAATTCTAAGCTCATGTAAAGTATTTTCTTGGGAACGGTTGATAAGTCACGTTTTGTAGGCTTTGAATGTATATTCTTATCTATAAAACGTGGTGGAAATCCATTTTCTATTAGGATTTTCCTCAAAGTGTATAACTCATCTTCCACAGTAACCGGGCTACAAATGCGTCGAATACGAGTGGCAAGCGACCGGACCAGGTTTCGTTTTCGACCAATGGGTACCCAGCTGTAGAAATTTGTCAGTTGACCATTCCATGACAGCTTACGATAAATTGATCTCTTCAGAGTTCCATCGGTCCTTCTTGATAAGTTCACATCTAGGAAATGAATGCTAGACTCGTTCTCTATTTCGAGTGTGAAGTTTGTCGCAGGATGGCACTCATTAAATACATCTAATATAATATTCAATGAAACTGTTTTGTATTTCTTTATTACTACTTTGTCTCACACCTCTGCTCACTGTTTCTATTATGCTTTTCTTGTACTTTCTTCTCTTGCTTCGCGTGCTACACGGAATGTGGCGACTTGAACTTCCGCACATTTGTGCAAAGTTCTATGTCGAAAACAGACAGACAATCAATATTACAAATAATAAAGGTGTCATCTACATACCTTATATACATTTGGAAACTGGATTATAGGCTTCAGGCAACCACTTTCTAGACTGGACATAAAAACGTCTGAGAGGAGAGGACCCAACGCAGAATCTATTGAAATACCATCCTTCTGTCTGTGGATTGTTTCATTGAAAGTAAACTCTACATTAAATGTACATCTCAAAAGTAGTTCTTTAAGATCTGTTGTGGGTATCCCTATATTCAATTTGTTGTCTTCAATATATTTGCATATAAAACGTATGGTCTCTGTTAGTGGAACGTTTTTTAATTGCATTTCATACTACTATTATTATTATTTTATGCATTCATATCTGTGATTCAATTCCCTAACCGGATATAACTTCTTAAAAACCATATATATATATATATATATATACTACCACTACTACTACTACTACTACTGTACAGCTTGATGATAAATTCGTTGAAAAGAGTCTCTCCGCTGAATCACTTGTTTTGATTTTCTGTATAATCACTATTTGACCATTTTTATGTTTCACTTGGTTTTACAACACATTCAGTTTAAAAAAATTTAAATCGATGCAAATTATTTATTAAACTGGGTTAATTCATTTTATAGTAATCCCCTTTGATACAAAAAAAGTTTACTCTATGATGAAAAGCACATTCCGATCATTCAACGTGTCACTGTAACATTATTCAATCAGAAACATATGACTATATTCGCTTTGTTATATTTCCCAATTCAAGTAAATATATCTAGTAAGTGTTAGAACAAATTGCCTTGCAATGATTTCAAAGTCAAGTATATTGGTTCAGACCAGTCGATCGATGGTAGCCAGATTATCGAAATATAAGAATTTAGCTAAGTTCAGAATTATTGGCCCTACAAAGATGAACAGTTTAGACGAAAAACTCAGCAGTCGCAACACTTAATCATATCATCAGGTGGGACAGAGCTACGTTTCAGAAGTGTAATATAGGTGGGTGAAGAGAGAGAGAGACGTTGATCACTGAATCTTTGTTCATTGAATCTGCACACCTAGCCTGTGCAACAGAAATGAGACAATGTCAATAGCAGGAATACCGAAAATATTACTACGAATTATTATTATTATTGTCTCCTTTAATACCTAGGGGAACATAGGGATTCAGCCAAACGTCTCCATTGCGTTCGGTTGACTACCAAAATTTTCACCAGGCTCCACGTCTTCCCATATCTTTTCATCTTCTCCATGTCATTCTCGCACTGACAACCAACTCACCGCTTCCCATTCAGGTTCCACTCGAGTGATGGTCTGGTGTGTGATGTCACTCACTTGATGGTTTGTTTTCTCAGAGTATGACTAATCCACCTCCATTTCTTCCTGAATATTTTTTGCACAGTTGGTTCCTGCTGGGTTGGTTCGCTCATTGACAGAGATCCCTCCCTGATACTGATCTTTTCTGGCCGGCCATCTGATTTTGAGCGAAGACAGCTGTTGGTTGTTTCATGAAGGTGTGTAGTTTGTTCGAAGTGATGTTCGTGACGTGGCGCGGCTCCAGGTCTCTGATCCATCCGTATAGTGAGTAGCAATGACTTCACATTGGAGTTTAAAATCCTGATCTTATTTTGATTTTTATGTTGAATTCTGTTGATCTGCACACAAACTTGAGAGTAGTGAAAGCTTGCTTTTCTTGCCTTCCCGATCTTCGCTGTGATGTCCTTATCAGTTCCGTCCGCCTGTAGTTGAAACGATGCTTCCCAGGTAGGTAGGTAGTTAGGTAGGTGAAGGAGGTTACTTCTTTCAGATTTCTCCCATTTATACTGGCTGGTTGTTGTCTGTGGTTGTTTCTGTCGCTGTTGATCAGGAATCTTCATCACTTCTGTTTTCCCTGTGTCTACCTGAAGGCCTATCTTCGATGCTTTTTCTATCACCAATTTGTTGCTTTTCACTTGAATATCTTCCAGTTTTGCGGGAAATCAGACACATATCATCAGTGGAATGCAGATCCTCCAAGTTATTTGTGTATTACACGCTAGAATAGAGATAAATTGAATAAAGTTGGTCGGTGTTTCAACACTTAAGGTAATTTCACTTATTATAATACAGTGTGTGGTGAAAGCTGTCTGCCAGCCAAATTTGGTAGACAGCAATTTACGTCGATGTTTACTTCCCAAATCTTGATTATGAGGAAAAAAAAGCAAAAATAAAGGCCAACTCAACAACCAATCACAGCAGACTTTGCGTGGGCGGATATGATTCTCAGATATGTGGTCTGGCCTTCAAAGGAATAGCCACAAAGGGGTGGCAGAAAACCTTTCAGCAAGAATTTGAATAAAGCAAGAACAAAAGTGGTTTGTGCAGAAAAATATGGTACCACCATTGCTTATTTCGTTGGCTTCTCATCAGTTCATCTGCTTACAGCCTAAATAAATTATGAGGTTTACGTACAGAAAAGTTTTAACATACTTGCAAAGTTTACATGTTGTCAGTTGACAGAAAGCTCCGCAATTAGCGAACAGTGCTCAGAAAATTCCTCCTATATAGTTTTTACACAGGCAGCTCAAGTTTAAACAAAATAAATGTGTGCATAAATGGTAAAGGAGTTAGGTAATAAAGACGAGATATGCGTTAGATGCAGAGTGACTAATGAATTAGGTAACAATGTACTGAGTTCAACTCACGTCATAGAAACAAGAGACAAGCAAATTTACAGATTATAAAAGGAGGTGAGGTTAAAAATAAGGATTACGTAATCAGACGAGAGAATAAAAACATCCAGTTACCAGGAGAGCAAGGGAAGACTGTTAACCGCTTCGCTGTGAACACATAAATATGGTTTCAAGCGTTTGATAGAAATTGCTTCGGCAAACTTGACGAGAATGGAGCTCCTTTGTCTATTGATAATATTAAAGGATTTCTCGATTTCCACCTCATCAAACGTGTCGAGGAGATGTCTGGTAATAGCGCTACTATAAGTTTGTTTGTTCCCTTGAGACGTAGGCTTTTCGGCACATGTTCAGAAAATCGGGGGTGTGCCCTTCTTACTGTTCTTCCAGTGTAACTACTCCCGCAGATACACGTAAATTTGTATACACAGATGGAGTTAACATGAGAAGGGTATCTATCGACTTTTGACTGCACCAAAGAGCATGTTGTTCGATGGACGGGAACCTACTTAGCTGCAAGAAAGCAACCAATCAGAAGACGTTGCTTCCCTGCTAATAATAACGCGAATAATAATAATAATGTACATAAAAATCTATAAATATCTGTTGACTTCGCTCAATAGACGATCTGTGTACCTGGCTGTTGTCTCTTCTGTTGTTACAAATGTATATTTCCTATTTAAATGAAATCCACTAAATATATATGTCTTTAAGGTTTTTTAATACTATTACCTATGTAAAGCAGCTCAATCCCGATTCTGATGATAATATTGTAATGTTCATTTTTGTATTGATTTTAGACTGATCCAGAGTTACTCTTATCTGAAATCAACAGACTAATTGATCAGAAGATTGTTCATTGTGTAACTGATTCACCAGGAAGGTAAGATATATATATATATATATATATATATATATATATATATATATAACTTCATATCCACAGGCAATATCAAGATTCCTGCCTAAAACGTGTAATTGATCTTGGAAGTATATCATTTTGACATTTGGGAAATTTGTCTCATTCTCAAAAGAATGGATACTGAGCAAAGAGTACTCTTTTCGATAAATTCATCATCAGGCTCTACAGTTAGTTATATATGCATTATAGTGAATGAATCAGTTAGTGTTATGAACAACATTAATGTTGTTTAAATAACATCAAATCAATAATATTATTGATAGATTACAGCTCAGTAGCATCAACATAAAATAAGCTGAATATCAGAAAAATTGGGAAGGATAATATTATAAATTCATGAGTTTATAGTCTCTACTGAAGGCCAGCCAGGGCAGTAGTAGGGGCTTGACTTGCTTCTTTTGAACACAGAGCGCTGGTTGCTTGAGGTGAATCGCAATAGCCTTTGTTGTTTGGAGCCTGCGGTGGTTCGATGTGTCCGGCAATTTATTTGGCACCCGGTATAATATAGAGAAGGATTCTTCCACGCTGGCTGGCTTTGTGGCCGGTTTGCACCAGATTTTCTAATATCGAACTGTTAATAGTTTTCACTACACCTTTACTCAGCCATACTGGGAGATGTTCTCGAGTGAGCACGAAAAATCAAGTTCCTAGAGTAACGGCCAATATGACTCCCTCCACCACAAGTGCAGTTGAATTGGTAGATACAATTTGAAGTGGCCAGCTAGTCTAGGTACTTCATCTTTCAGTCGAGGTAGCACCATCGATCGTGTAGAGAATAAGACGTGTAGTTTGCCAGCATTGAAAGTTCTTTGAACTGATTTTCTTAATTTCCTAGTAATTATCTCACTTGGTATATCGCCCTTGAATTGCAGTCGTATATAAAGTGGCTTCTTGTTTACAGATAGTGAGTAGTCCTTTTCCACCGCTTTCTTTGTCATGTGTTTCTGGATAAATTTGTCGGGATAGCTATTTTCGATCAAAGTATCATATACAATGCTTAATTCATCTTCAATTACTTCTTCTGAGCATATAGCTTTTACTCTGTGGCTGAGGGTCTTCACTAAATTTCTTTTGTATTTGATAGGAACGAAGCTGTGAAAATGAGTGTATATTGTCCTGTCCAAGTGCTCTTTCTACGCAAATTTCTTTGTATGCTACCATCTGGTTCATAATACTAACTGATTCATTCACTATAACGTATATATAACTGTAGAGCCTGATGATGAAGAGGTTATCGAAAAGAGTACTCTTTGTTCAGTATCCATTTTGTTGAAAATTTTAATGGGTATTTTTTTAAATAGACATTCGTTGATGACTGCATTGTATGCATTAATAATATTAGTTTTCGATACACACATTAGATGAATGTGGGGCTGACTGACTAACAGACTGGTTTCAACGTAGAACTTTGAACAGATGTGCAGAAGTTCCCTGTGCCACTCCCCTTTCATGTAGCACACAAAGCAAGAGAACAGAGGAAACAGAGATAAAAAAACAGAATTGTGAGTGAGGGAAAAAGAATAGTTATGTGGAAGCACAATAGAGTCTTATCAGATATGAAGAATCACAAAGACTGAATATATCTACGCAATCATCAATTGTCTCCAGCCTTCATTGGTTCTTACCGTCCCGAGGACCCCAAACAGTAAGGAAGTCTACACCTTCCTATGTGACTGACTGGCTTAAACTAACTGTTGTGGATTTGATTGACTAATGACTGACCACAGTATGCTAGCTGTTTTCCAATCTAATCCATCTTATGTCAGCTAACATTGCCTTCTGGGGAAGGCAATGGCCAGGCATGCATAACACATGAATGTGAGATGAGTTATACCATTGAATTAAATGTCTGTCATAACTCCCTTCGTTGTTTGTATGTATATAAATTCAATGTGAAGTAAGATGAATGCATTCAATAGTTGATCGGCACTCTAGAAACGTGTTTATTCCTTTTTGTATTATCAAAAAGGAGGTAATTATCAGTCAACTTTCAGCTTTATTGTTCAACACAATTAGTCATAGAACTAGCAAAAGCAACTAAGCAGCTTTTCGTTATCGAAATCTCCAAGGAAGACTATTTCTTCCCTCCCTTCACGGTCTAGGAAGCGTCCTGAAGGAAACTGTTAGTATTATTCGTGGGACTCAAGTGTAGATTACTCTACTGGCTAGTGAGAATTCAGGATGGTCTCAACTAATTTATATCGGATACACCGTTGATAAGCTCGCACACAAAACCACGAACCCTGCCGTTTAGAGTGTTTGTACCATTTCAATCTAGTTGGGTAACAAGTGTACTCCTGATTGATGTGAATGATATATCCTACTACTTATATCAACAAATTAGTCAGTAGTATATAGCACCATGTACTCATACTTGTTTTTTTATTGCTATTTATGCTATCAAACAGATCACATATTGTGATCTGAATACATTTGATTTTGAAAGGGGATCTTCGGTGAAATTCCACCTCTTCAAGTATTCGTTTTGCAGGGATTTTGTTTGATTGGTTCGGAGGATTTCATCATGAGCTGGTCACAAGGAGGGCTTGTAGACCATTAAGCCACTGGGACTCGACCCAATGGCCAGCCAATGGATTCTAACTTCTGTCAATTCAAGATATGGTGCAGGAGTTAGAATTCATGGGCTAGCCATTGGATCGGGTCCCATTGGCTTAATGGTCTACGAGCTCGCTCACCTTGTAACCAGAAGGTCTTGGTTTCGAACTCCCTGTAGTGGATGCGTACTGACAAAGAGTCCAAAACTAGGATGAAACAGCTGGCTGTCCAGTACTCTATGGTGGTTTACCAATGGTTCTCTAACTAATATCAGCTCATGATGAAATCCTTCAACCAATCGAATTCCACCTTGTCGAACGGTGTAACTCGAAAATTGTGTATTTTAATCTATTACCCAAGTAACTACTCACATTTCTGGTTGTTTGAATTGATGATTCAGCTCCAAGTTGAGTCATACTGGGTACACTGCTGACGAGCCCAGCTACAGACGAATGAAACGACTATTCAGTGTTCAGATCACTTTGATATGGCTGGCCAGAAAACACTACTAGCTTGATGTGAGTCTGTCTGTCTGTTTTCGATATAGAACTTTGCACCGATGTGCACACACTCCCTCTATGTAGCACACAAAGCAAGAGAAGAATGTAGAAGAAATACATAATACAGACAGTAAACAGATGTGTGAGACAAAGAAATAGTAATAACGAAGAACAATATAGTTTCATTGGAAATCATAAGTGACAATTAGTGGATGCATATGCGCCATTGAGAACGGTTTTGAGTTAAATCACCAATCGTCTCAAGCGTTCATTGGTTCTCACCATTCCTAGGAACCCAATGAGTCAGGAATTCTACACCTCCCTAAATGGCAGCTGCCTTAAACTAACTGTTGTGGATTTAATTGAATAATGAAGCCATGTTTTGGTTTGACCACCGCGTTCTAGCTCTTTTTCAACCTGATTCATCCTATATCAGCTAACATTTCCCGTCGAGGAAGGTGATCGATGGTTAACGGTGCATACGTAACACATTTCCTACCCATGTCAATCGGTGTAACTTCACAACATTTTCGACTGGTTTCCCCTCTCCTTAACTAGCACGCGATCGATGCCTTACCTCAATACTGCTCACCTTTTAATACCACTTCACATGGGAGATAGAACGCAGGCACATATGATCGAAGATAGCTAGCCAGCCTTTTCATGTATTCCACTCTCAATGGTCAGGTCTCACAGCCATAAAGGAAGACGGAGCAGACTGATGAGCGGTACATCCGCCCTTTGGTCGATAGTCAGATACCAGGTCTACGCCAGAGACGGCGTCAACTGGCGAATGCGAAACGAGCCCCCTGTATCCGTGGTGAGATTTCGTCAGAGGTCAACCCGTTGGAACTAGCTGATGCAACTTCCCATATAAGTGATGTGGTCAACGAGCTCTACCACTTCACTCCTTATTTTTAAGCTAGGAGTCAATACAGTCCAGTCCTGTACCTTCATCATCTTACATTTGACAGCAGGAGTGAATCGCATGCCAAACATTCGTAGATTGCAGCTCGAGGTGTTCAGAAGACTCTGCTAGATTTTGTCAGCGTCTTCGCCTAAAAGGACAGTATCATATCATCTGCATATTCTAAGCCAACGAGATTATTCCATAATGGTAGCAAGTCAATCCCTGAGTCTCTGAAGTGAGTTAGTGTTAGGTCCATTAGTAGTACATCTATGATGAAATTGAATAGAAATGGGGATAATGGTCTGGCATCCCTGACGGACACCACTGGTCGTCACCACTTCAGATGACAACTCGGCGTAAAGCCTCACCTAGCTGACTGCATGAGTTCGAGTAGAGTTCCCTGACCAGTGCAATGTATTTTGTCGGCATTAATTTTACAGCCAAGCATCGCCAGAGTACCTTTCGGTCGACAGAATCGAAAGCCGCCTCTAGGTCAAGTAATATAAAAATAAAATATAAATATGGACGCCGGTAAGAATGCCTATGTTCTAGAAACTGTCGAAGGGTGAAGGTATGATCAATGTGAGTGGTATTCAACTACTCAAATTAATCAACCAGTAGTATATGGTGTCATTTGTTTTTTTGTTGTCTAATTTTTCTTCACTATTACCAAGGTTCAAGTTAATAGAATGTGAATCAGATATTCCCAATTCATTATGCTCAGAATCCGAAGTATCACGGGATGGAGTTGAAAGTGAGTACTCATACTTTTTGGTATAACTGATATGATATCACGTTTGTATTAATATGAAGTATTACATATATATATATATATATATATATATATATATATCAGTTAGAGAACTATCTGTAAAATTGAGTGTACTAGAAAAGTGTTTTGTCCTGTTTTGTCACTCTTCATCAGTACGCACTCATCTGGATTTTTTCGATTGGAAATCAGTTGTTCAGTCTAATTATTATGGTTCTCAGCAAACTTTAGGAATATTTGAAAATGGTTTTAGATAAAGGCAGAACAAAAGCTTGTGCAGGATAAGATGGTAGCATCATTTATTTCGTTGGCTTCTCATCAGCTCAGCTGCGAATAGCCTAAAGATGGTTTTGTTAAGTTAGGGTACAATACATGAAGTTGAGTGTGTTATATTAAGATTATGTGTTGATGGTACAAATGTCCATCTACAATAGAAAAGTGAATAGAGGATTAAGACAAGGCTCCTTGTCTATTATCATCGGTGATATTTTTAATTGTTGTGGACTGGATTATGAGTGAGACTGTGCTCAGGAAATGAGAAGACTTAGAATATGCAGACGATATAGTCCTTCTAGGCGAAGACGCTGACGAAATGCAGAGTCTTCTAAACACCTTGAGCCGCAATCTACGAATGTTTGGGATGCGATTCGCTCCCGCCAAATGCAAGATGATGTTACAGGACTGGACTACATCGACGCCTAGTTTAAAAATAGGAAGTGAAGTGGTAGAGCACGTTGACCGCTTCACCTATTTGGGAAGTACCATCAGCCCCAACGGGCTGATCTCTGACGAAATCTCAGCACGAATACACCAGGCTCGTTTTGCATTTGCCAGTTTACGCCGACTCTGGCGTAGACGAGATGTTCGACTATCGACCAAAGAGCGGGTGTACTGCTCATCAGTCCGCTCCGTCCTCCTTTATGGTTGTGAGACCTGGCCACTCAGAGTGGAAGACATGAAAAGACTAGCTGTCTTTGATCATAGGTGCCTGCGTTCTATTTCCCGTGTAAAGTGGCATAATAAGGTGAGCAACATGGAGGTTAGGCGTCGAATTCTAGGTGAACAGGGGAAATCAATCGGCGAAGTCGTGAAGTTACATCGACTGAGATGGTTAGGACATGTGTTACGTATGCCTAGCCTAGTCATCGCCCCCCTCGACAAGCAATGTTAGCGGATATAGGGTCAGGCTGGAAAAAAGCTAGCGGCGGTCAAACAAAAACTTGGCCTCACCAGTCAATGAAATCCACAACAGTTGGTCTAAGCCACGTAGGAAGGTGTAGACTTCCAGGCTGGGGTGGTCCTCGGGACGGTAAAAATCTATGGTTGGAAACAATTGGTGACATGGCTCAAAATCGTTCTCAGTGGCTAGCGCAGATGCATCCACTCCTTGTGACTTATGATCTCCAATGAAACTGTTTTGTTCTTCGTTATTACTCCTCCTTTGTCTCACACCTCTGCTCACTGTTTCTATTATGCTTTCCTTGTACTTTCTTCTCTTGCTTCGCGTGCTACACGGAATGTGGCGACTTGAACTTCCGCACATTTGTGCAAAGTTCTATGTCGAAAACAGACGGACAGACAGACAGACATGAGAAGACAAGAATACATTGGACCGCCGATAAGAAGACTCTAAAAGATCTGGATTTTTCACATGGATGATTCATGTTTTTGGTGTTACACAAATTCGAAGACTGACAGGGGTGATAAGCAACAAAGAGGCTGAAGACACAGCGAAGACAGGACCTCAGGTGGATATAGAGAAGATGCAGGTGTTGAAGATAACCAGCCAACGAACAGCAACAACAACAACAACCAGCACCAATCACCACCAACGGAAGAGATTTGACAGAGGTTACTTACTTCCTTTATCTAAGAGGCATAGTTTCAACTACAGGCGACAGCACGGATGAAGACGTCAAAGCTAGCCAGAATGAGGAAGGCAAGATACGCCTTCACCGACTTCAAATCGGTTTGGAAATCTTCTGCACTCCGCCTCAGCATAAAGAACAAGATTCAGATTTTCAACACAAATATGAAATCAGTCAATCACTTCTTCTATGGGGGGGGGGGGGGGGCAGAAACCTGCACTGTGCACTGTGACGAATAGGATTTCCCACAGCCAGTTACAGACTTTTTATCAACAGCTACCCGCTTCGCTGACTTCATAATAATAATAATAATATTAATAATATACTTTATTCGCAAAAACAGTGCTTATAATACAGAATGAAATTCTCAGCATTTGTCACAATATTCCATCTGATTTACTCAAAATATAAATAAAATTAAAAATTAAAACAAAAGTAACCAGTGGGATTTGTTCACGTTTAAAGTTAAAAAGTATTCGAAGTACGAATTGAGAGTATTAAATATAATAATAATAATAGTGAGTTTGTTTTAAACAGTATTGTCGATTCAATTTGTCCACTTTCCCCATTTCTGTTTAACTTCATCATAGATATGCTAATGGAAGTATCCTTAACTGAACGTAGTGACTTAGGAATCGACTTGTTACCAGGGAATAATCTAATGGACTTAGAATATGCAGATGACATAGTCCTGTTAGGGGAGGATGCTGACAAAATCCAACAGTCTTCTGAACACCTTGAGCAGCAATCTTCGTATGTTTGGCATGCGATTCGCCCCTACAAAATGTAAGATGCTGCTACAGGACTGGACGACGTCAACCCCTAACTTAGTGATAGGGAGTGAAGTGATAGAACATGTTGACCACTTCACCTACTTGGGAAGTTGTATCAGCACCAACGGACTGATTGGCGATGAAATCTCAGCACGGATCCGAAAAGCTCGAGCTGCTTTCGCTGACTTACACCATCTCTGGCGTAGGCGTGACATCCGGTTATCAACCAAGGGACGTGTGTACTGCTCATCAGTTCGCTCCGTCCTTCTCTATGGCTCTGAAACATGGCCAATACGCGTTGAAGACATGAAAAGGTTGACTGCTTTCGATCATAGATGTCTGCGATCTCTGTCTCACGTTAGGTGGTTTAATAAGGTAAGTAATGTTGACGTTAGGCGTAGAGTGTTGGGCAAAGAGGGAAAATCAATCGACGAGGTTATAAAGTTACATAGACTAAGATGGCTAGGTCACGTGGTGCGCATGCCTAACCACCGCCTCCCCCGACGGGCATTGTTAGCTGATATAGGTTCAAGGTTGGAAAAGAGCCAGTGGTGGCCAAACAAAAACATGGCATCAATCCATGAAATCCTTGACAGTTAAACTGAGTCAGGTAGGGAGATGCAAACTCCCGGGTTGGGGCCCTCGCGACTCTAGGAATCAATGGCTGGAGACAATAGGTGACATGGCTCAAAATCGTTGTCAATGGCAGGCGCAGATGTATTCAGTCTCTGTAATCTTTCATATTCCTTTCTACCATTACCCATTCTGTTTCACTCTTATATTTGTCAAACTCTATTAATTCTCTTCACTCATCTTCTTGTCTACCTCTGTGTGCTATTTGGAAGGTGGCAACTCGAACTGCTGCACTTTGGTGCCAAGTTCTATGTTGAATCCAGACAGACAGACAGATTCAATTTGAGAATTTTAGCATGTTACTATGGAGTATTGAATCTAATGTTCTCTGTTGATATAGCAGTATGGTGGGGGGAAATACAAAATTAACAGTTCTAACATAGCTTAAATTATGTACACACTTATGAAAAATAAATAAATAAAAACAAAAAAAATTGAGAGGATTATAAATATAAGAAATGCAATAACAATATAGTTCGACGTTATAAGGGTGGAGTAAAATGATTTATTTAGTAGTGCAAAGAAGGTTAGTTAGTTAGTTAGTTCATGTCTAACACTATTTTCATCACATAAAGTACGTGACAAATATAGTATAGTGGAATCTTTACACTTAGACATACGTGCATGAAGTCTTCTCAAAAGACTTCTTGTTTTCCCTGAAGAGGAGACACAAGGTTGGAGCTGTGAGTGCTAAGGTGGATGCTCACGGTCTGACAAAATTCCTTTAGCAAATTTTTTGCATGACATCAAGTGCCTATCAGCGACAATGACAACGATATGGCCCAATGGGATATTTATTCATTTATTTATTTAAACGCATAAAAAACTTGGTACAATATGGCACCAAGAAAGATGCGCCACACAATAATAATAGTAAAACAACATAAAGCAAAGAAAAAGAAAGAAGAGAAAAAAACATATATAAGTAGAGAACGGATAAAGAACTTCATCTGGAAGGAAAACAGTCATGCTTAACAAGTTCAAACAGTATTCGTTAACTATCATCGGGAAGGGAAGAAAGAAGGAAATTGCAACACGTTCGCCATTGATTACGATTCTTGGCCATATCCGATAACGTTTCAAGCCATCGATTTGAGCTATCTCGCGAACCCAAACCAGGGAGTCGTGACGCACCAACCGATGCTAATCCAGCACAAAAATCCTTTATCCTACAACGCCAGGACATGGACTGACCACCTCTTCGCCTTTTCCATCCCGTCCCAGGGCTGGCTAGCGAACAGAGACCTGCACGGAAGCCTCTGGGATGACATTCGGAGCACATGTCCAAGCCACCGGAGCCGGTGTTTCCAGATGACGACATTCAATGAATGGTGATCTCCACTTTGTTCAAACACACGCCACCGAACCTCAGAATTACTCACGCGATGATGCCATCGAACGCAAGGAATCCTGCGGAGACAGCGGTGATCGAACACGCAGAGTCGCCGCACATCCTCAGCTGCTCCTCATCCTACTGACAGTCGTCAGAGTTCTACGTAGTATGACATACTGAAACTGAAATGGCCTGCCGGTCAGAAAGAATTAGCGACAAGAAACTCTGGCTGGAAACAAACCAACTGGCGAGAGCCGATCGCTCAACAAATATGTAGGAGAAAATGGAGATGCATTGGGCATACACAGTAGAGACCATCGAATGACACCGTACGCACTGCAGATCATCCCTCTCGAGTATAATCCGAATAGGATAGAC